GACATCAACCTAAGGACAGTTATGAAGAAAATCACGAAAAGAATCCCAGTCAGCTATAGGGTAGTAGTAAGTAGTGCTATGAAAGGTGAGTCCAAAAAAGTATGAGATGAAAGATTTAAAGAGATAATTGCATGGTCAGAACCACCTAAAGGAGAAAAAGGAGAAACTAAACACAAGCTAGGATCAGAGACCAGACATAAATCAAGGAGTGTAGGTAATGATTAGAATTGTGAGGAAAACGTGTCACAAAAATAATTATCTAACTAAGATATTGAGAAATGCAGAAGTTATAGGCTTTAGTGCCAGCAGGGTCAGTGGCGTTAGCGCTAAGCCATTCAGTGTCATGAGCATTAAAGTCATCAATAACAACAACATTGACAGAGGGGTAAATGTCAAGGAGAGGAGACATGGTCGATTTGATCAAAAATTACATCATAAAGAGTGCAGTCTTGGAAGAAGGAGAATGAAAAAGAACAAAGAGCAAGGACAAGAACAAGGAAGCAAATTCAACTTGAACCTGATTTCATGATAAATAGGTGAATTGATGCATATGTATAACCCCAAGCCGAGCATGTGACTATTGGAGTCTTTGTGAATCAAAGGATAATACCCATCAACACTAAGATCAGAATAAGGAATAGCAGAATTTAAATTAGTCTCATTAAGAGCAAGCAAGTCTGGTGAATTTTGCAAGAGGTAAGATTCAACTGATGAAAGGTTGCTTTGTAGACCTTTTACAAGAGGTAAGATTCAACTCCTAGAAGGTTGCTTTGCAATATTAGTAAAATATATGTTAAAAATGTTAGTTGATAGGGATGGTTTTTATGTTTAATATTTTGGATTAATTTTGGCATTTGGCAATGAGCTATGCACCTTTCTCAGTCCTGTTAATTAACCATAAGTCATAACATTGGGCTCTTTATGTAGCCTCAACAATGCGCACTAAAAACATTAACAGGGACAACATCCATGCACAATATGACACTGTTAACACTCCGATATTTTGCAGCCGTTAATGGAATCAGCCCCTCTGAGAGCTACCACAAAGTTCAGGAAACTCCAGCCTCAGAACCATTAAACTGAGTTTTAGAGCTGTACCCTCATTAGGAGATAACAGGAAGAGTTGCATAGCCACTATCAAGTAGGCACAGGCAAAACCTATGAGGAGAGTCAAGAAGATCCAGCATTCATCATCTTAGGCAGAAAACAGTGTAATACAAGTTTACATTTAGGCCAGCCTAATAGATGAAGAAGTGGTTCAAGGCTGGTTAGCGGAATTATTCTGATTACCCCTCAATTTGTCTAGTTTAGGTTATTTGTCTAGTTTAGGTTAAATGCGTTACTTACGCTTTTAAATCTGTAACATAGTTAAATGTGTTGGTATGTAATACACTATTACATACCAATTGGATCTTAGTTATATATTCCAAAATTAAAAAGAAATAATGTGAAAAAAAACATGTTGATTGAAAAAGACTATTTCAAAATAAAAATAAATATTTAAAAAAATTTTTGGCATTCATATATGACATTATCATACTATCACTAGAGAGATTAGCATTCAAGGTTATTATGCTCCTCCAATTTTATTTTTACTTTTTGAGTGTGTGTGTGTGTGTGTTTATATATTAAATTTTGACCACACACAGATCTTATGAAAAAAATACAATCCAGAAAATTTCAGCTTGATTGACCAATTTGTTTAAAAGTTATGATTGAATTAAAAATGACCAAAATCCGAAAAATTTGTGTATCAGCTTACAGCAGTTCTTTTCGACTTTTGACAAACCATAACTATTTAAATAAAGATGGTGATCACCTGAAATTTTGTAGGGTAATAGTTTTTCACCCAAATAATCCATTGTTGTAGTTGTTTTTGACTGATTTTTTATAGTTTTGGAGTTATTGTACCTTTAAGCTGCTAAATATTGCAACATAAATATTTTTCAAACTTTAACATGTTACAGTTTCATACTTACTTACAGAAAGTGTATTTTTTTTTGTTACCTTTGTGTACTTAGGGTCACCACTTGTTAGAATAATCAAAATTATGCATTAAAAATTAGTTTAGCACATGCAGCAGCCTATTGAAAAATCACTTTTTTTAAAAATTATGATAAATTTCATTGACTTTGCTGGCATAGAAAATAGCGTAAACAGTTGAAATAAATTATGAAACTTTTTAATTTTGAGGTTCTATATATAGACAATCATTGAAAAAAATTTATAGACCTATACTCTATCTTATGACATGATTGTAGCCTTTTGAGAGTGATGATATTTTCAAAAGGAGAATGTTATTAGATTATGAGCTACCCTTAGGTCATAGTCTAATAATTAGTCATAGTGATGACAGTAGTATATTTTTTATTTATCTCTGAATGAATATATTAAGTTTTCTTTTTAATGACATGTCTTAACTTGAACTAATAATAATGACATAATCAGTGTCATAATCAGTGTCTGATATTGGTTAGTTTCTTTGAGATTTAATGTTTAT